AACTCTTTTGTGTGACAATAATTCAGCAATTTCTGTTAAAAAGTAACCAGTTCTACATGGGAGGACTAAACACATTCCTATGAGGTATCACTTCTTGAGAGAGCTTGTTCACGATGGAATAATTCAAGTTAAATACTGTAAAACAGAAGATCAAGTAGCAGAAGTATTTTCAAAAAAAGTTTGAGGTCAGAACTTCAAGGAACAACTTGTGAAACTTGGAATGAAAAGAAAATTTGGATTACGGGAGGCAATGTTGGAAAATAAACCAAATTAGTGATAACTGATGAATTTAATAATCATTTACTAAACTTTATTTTAGTGTCTACATGTATTCCAATAACTAATTGAGTAAGTTGAAGAGTCTTTTGTGTCCTATAAAGTAGAATGTAATCTGCAGTAATTTTTCAAGGTAATAGAATTGAGTATTTCTGATAATATACATCACAACTTTTCTTGCCTTCAACCTGCCAACAAATCCATTTTATATATATCTCCTAAGAACTTAAATCACACAAACATTATGGCAATATGTTAGGACCCGACAAACTCCACGTTGGTATGATATTGTTCGCTTTGGACCTAGACCTTCACGAATTTGCTTTTGGATACTACCCAAAGGGTCTCATACCAATGAAGTATTGTCCTACACTTATAAATCCATCATATTTCCCATGTATAGTCGATGTAGGACTTCTTTTACTCCCAACAATCCTCCCCTCAAACGAAAGACCACATCATTGTGGCCTCCCCTGAAATGATAATCCATCAGCCAATTATCTTGTATCACCGTTCTTGTCGTCGCCCTCGACCAAACCGGGACCCGTCGCCTGACCACCATATTTTATATTAGAAAGACTTTCGACACCAGGCATCTCAAACGTTGATGATTTATATAGCCAGGCACAAGGCTAATTAGGGAGGACCTCCACCACACTTTCCGCTGCGTTCCTCCAGCTAAGTTTTTGGGCCCTGGTCTCTGATACCAATTGTTGGGAATTTAGTCTTCCCCATAGCTCAAGATCAATCCAGAATTACAGGAAGAAAATGCAGCACCAACAGAAAGTAAAACCAGCAAGAACAGATTGATAACCAGAAGTAAAAATAGCAAGAAAGAAAATTTGAACCAGCAGAAAAAACTTGAAGACCAGATTTGGAATAGGAAGATTTCTTCCTCAGCCCTTTTATTCACACAAGGCTACATTCAATTACATGAATCAATCACCATCTCAGGTGATTATTTGTACAAGAAAGAATACCAGTAGAAAGCTTTTACAGATTGAATTTTTCCATAGAACTCTTTCTCTCACAATCTCACTCTTCATCTATACCTTTTTCTTTCTTCATCATAACTCTCTCTTTACAGAATTCTCTTATTCCAGAGCTCTACTTTGAACTCTCTATTCAGAGCTCCAAAATTCTATAGAATTCCATAATCCCGAGATCCATCTATAACACTACCTAAGGCATTAAAGACTTATTCAGTTGGAATCTGTTTTGTATCAATTGAGGAATCTTTAAGAAATCAATTACTTACAATCTCCACCTTGATTCTTGAAGAGAATTTTCAGACCAATTGCAGCAGGTAGTTGATCAGGCAACCTGCCTAAATTGATTTCAGTTTCAACCTCATATGCAACTTCAGTTCCAAGCACACCTTTTGTGATTACCACATAATTTTCCATCACATTTAACACTCCACCTTGAGCTTTGTACATACAGCCGAATTTATCAAGTGCTCCCAGTGAGATTTGATTTCTTTTCAGACATGGTACATGCCTCACTCCACCTAGGACTTTTGATGAGCCATCCCACATTTTCATCTTGACAAAACCAACACCAATCATTTCACAGGTGTTGTCATTTGCCAACAGCACTTTACTTTCATAATCAGGTTTGTAATCAATGAAAAATTCTCCCCTTGGCGTCATATGAAATATCAGCCATTTCTTGTTTCTTCGTGGGCAATTTTCCCAATTGTTGGAATCACTTCCACTTGAGCTACTTGATTCTTCCTTCTTACTAGCAAATGCCTCTACCTGCTTATATGCCTTGACCATCTCCACAGCGTTGATCGCCAGAATCATCAAAAACCCAAGATGCTTCAATTGCATCTGACTTTCCTCAACTTCAACCTTAGCAAGAGCCATGTCCCGCAATCAGAACTGCTACAGAAAATTTGTTTTCAGATTTCTTTAATTTCCTTTGCAGATTTGAATCCCAGCTCTGATACCAATTGTTAGGACCCGCCAAACTCCACATTGGTATGATATTGTTCGCTTTGGGCCCGAGCCCTCACGTGTTTACTTTTGGATGATACCCAAAAGGCCTCATACCAATAGAGTATTATCTTACACTTATAAACCCATCATATTTCCTAAATCTAGCCGATGTGGAACTTCTTTTACTCCCAGCACAATTATGTCAAGATCATTAAAGGGAGATTTTGTATTATTTATGGTTGCATGCACGGTGACATCTGCCATGTCTATGTCAAGTCATGTTGGGGCAGCAGCAATGGCAGTGGGGGGCCGTGCATGGAATCTCTAAACGGTATCAAAGGTTGCGAAATGAATATTTTTAAAGCATTGTTTGGAGCTCCGCTCGAATCTGTGTTCTGCCAAGTTGTCAATGATATAGCCGATAAATGTGCTTCTGAAGGGTTTAATTTATCTAAGATGTTTCTGCCTGTCGCTTTAGCACCATGCATGCCTGGAGAGGGGGCACTAGCAGACCCACATGGGGTCATGTGGGGTCAAATGACCCCACAAATTATTATTATTATTTTTTTTTTTGAGGTTTCCTCGAGGTTTTTTTTTCTACCTAAACATTTTTGAATTCTCATTTTTGACCCACAAGAAAAATGGTCTCGGTCCGCCCGTGAGAGGGGGTGTACTGTCCATATTTGAAGGGATGATTTTTGCATGATATGTTGAATTTTCTTGTTTTAAACTCTTATAGTGGAATATGAATAATGATCCAGGTTCTGAAGTGTTCTAAATGATTGTGATATTAATTTCGTTCCAGTCAGTTTGGTTAATAAGAATATTTTGAAGCTTCGATGAAGATCTTTACGGTTTCCGGGAATATCCTTTGATCTTTTTGTGGGATTTCAATGGCCATTAACGTTACCGTAGATAGTGACATCGATTTTAGTCAACTTATCCTTTGCAACTGATATATCTTTTCACAAGTTAAAATTTGACAATAATAACTAGAGAGGTGTTTAAAAAAATTAAGACTTGTTTGGCAAACTTAAAAGTTCCAGGGGACCTACTCTACTATTTCTGTGTCTTTCTTCCTCTTCTTATAGAAACCGGTGAGTGGAAATGGCTAATTAGGACGATGGTGACAATCAAGTCGTCGTTTGATATTTTTATAAAAGATGTTTGATAAGAAGTACCAAAAGCATATGTTTTTTATTTTATTCATAAGATGGTGTTTTTGGCATTTCAGTAATGCCAAACATGATAATTTGCAGCTGATAATCTATGCAAGAGAATTAGAAGAAATGACAATTTTATAGATAGAAAAAATATCCAGTGTTTGGATATCTTTTGAATGTCCTTATCGGTTAGTATTATATCTCATATGCCACTATGCAAAGGAAGCTTCAATGACCTTGACAGGTAAAATAAATAAATAAAAATCTATTCATCTGAAAATTTACGCAAATTAACTAATAAAATTCATAATAATTTCATTACGAATTTTTGAATCTATAAAAAAAATGACCTAGAACAAAACAATAAAACAAAATTCAATAACTTCACCAAATAAGTCAATTTTAGTACAATCAGCGACTTTGCTGTCAATATTCCTATGCTAAACTACCATATGAAAGATGAAGCAAAAATTAGAAGTAGAAAATAGAAAGCTTCAGCAAACTAAAATTAAACCAAATCACCATAATTTTAAATCCCATACCTACTCTCCCCTCTTTAGGTTACGTTTCCCACTGTGTTTGAATAAGCAGTGGCGCAGCCATCTATCTTTCCATGCCAAGTACTCAATACAAAAAAGAAGACCAGAGATGATAGCTTGATTTGCCAAAAGCATATAAAAACACTGCATATCTTGTGCAAACATTTCTAGTAATCCACACGAAAACACCCAAGACAAGAATATCAAATGGTGGCTGACACATACTTTTTCCTTCCAGTAACTATAGATAGATTGGAAAACACCATATTTGAAGGAAAGAGCTTGCAAGGCCTAACATATGAATGACAAAGTATTATAGCATTACTCAAAATTAATTACTCCAGAAGACCCAAAATTCTGAATGGAACAAAAAGAAAGAAAAGTATTCATAAGCACAATGCAGTTCCAATATAAGTGAAATCATGATGCACAGTCCAATCTCTAACTATGTAATAGTCAAATGAAAGCAGGTCGGAGAAACCACCAAAATGAGCCTCCATTTGAGAATAATTTCAAAGTTCAGAGCACGTCATATATAATTCAGTGCTTAAACTACCAAGGGAAACCAATTTTCAAATACTTAATCCACATAAAAGGTGAATGGCGCCATTAATTTCTATATTAATTTTTTTACAGACTACAAACACAACAATGACATGAAAAAATTCGCCATCATCATTGAATACAATTACATTTCAAGAGGGGAGAAATGAACACACCCTTCTATTATTAAAAAAAATAAAAATGCGTACTGAAATTTAATGATTGTATTTGACAATGCTCAGTTGAAGCAGATAAAAGTATATTGGACAATTCATTTAACGCATTTTACTGCAACAACATGCCTTGTTATCCACAAACAAAACAAAATATATTTCCATGAACATCAAGCTTAATAATAAGCCACATAAAACAAAAAGTCAGCTTTACAAGAAAAAGCTGATTAAATTCGATTAAATTTCTCCTAAACCCACCTGAAAAAGCCGATTAAATTCTCCCCTGGAAAATAAGGTGTTTCAAGCACCATAGGCACAAAATCTTCATTCAAAACCAAACCCATTTTTTCAAAATCATTCTCTAGAGACCCATCGGCAGTACCACTGCTCTGAAGCAATGACAACAAACTTTGCACCTTTTCCATATCATTCTCCTCCATTTTTTCAATTTCCTCATCCTCCCTAGCAAAAGAACCAAACTTTTGGTCCGTAGGAACAGAACTCTCATCAATTTCAGTAGCCAAACCATCATTTAACTCTAAGCCATCTGCGTCTTCATTTAAGATCGAAGACCCGGCTTCCAGTCCCGACGAAATGGAGCTCATACTTTCATCAAACACATTATTCAAGCTCTCCCCGAACCCTTCATTGGCTTCGGAAATGGATTATTCCGCCATCTCTTCCTCGTAATTTTCAGATGGGTTCGTTGAGAAAAATCTTGGGTTCGGACAAAATTCAGATTTTCCTCGTACCCAGATGAATAAATCTGATTTATGAAACAATGATTCAATATATGGTACACTTAACTTTGGAAACTCAGAATTGGATACCTGATAATGAAAAATTGTATCCCAAGTAAACTTGATTTTGGAGTAAGTAATACGGGTTTAAGAATTTTGCTTATAGGCCCAATAAAGTCAAGTCATGTGTGTAAGTTTTGAAGTTGAGAAATAAAAATTACATTTTACTTACTTTTTCCTATTAGTGTTGTCCTTCCTATCAAGCCTTAACCAAACCAAGTTAGTAAACCTCTCA